CACTTTTAGGGAAGTGTTATTCAAGCTAGTTGACACTCATTCATTTTGTTTCCATTTGTCCTTTTTAAAATATGGTGATATCTTCTGGAAAACACATTGCATCCTGTTAGAGACTACCCAAATTTAGAATAATGGCAGATGCCTTGAAAACTGAACCAGTAGTCAGTTGTATAGTCATTTTTCTTAGATTGCTTAGATTAAGGTGACCAGATTTTAACATTGGTAAAGCGGGATACCACTGACGGGGGGGACGGGTGAGACAAAAATAACTTTTTCAGCCCTCTGAGTAGTCCATGTGCAGAAAAGGACTACCCAGAGGGCTGAAAAAAGTGATTTCTTCGCACTTATGACTGGTCATCATTTATGCCCATTGTAGCATTCTTAACAACCATGTCACTCATTTCACAACTGCTTCTCTTCACCATGGTGAAAAGATAGGGCAAAAACGTAAAATGTGAGGACAGTCGTAAGTTTGACGACTGGTCAAAAGTGTGAGGACCAGTCAAAAATAACTTTTTCAGCCCTCTGAGTAGTCCATATGCACAAAAGGACTACCCAGATGGCTGAAAAAAGTGATTTCTGACAGGTCCTCGCACTTTTGACCGGTCTTCGCACTTATGACTGGTCATCATTTATGCCCATTGTAGCATTCTTAACAATCGTGTCACTCATTTCACAACTGCTTCTCTTCACCATGGTGACAAGATAGGGCAAAAACGTAAAATGTGAGGACAGTCGTAAGTTTGAGGACTGGTCAAAAGTGTGAGGACCAGTCAAAAATAACTTTTTCAGCCCTCTGAGTAGTCCATATGTATAAAAGGATCCAGCAATAGAGAGGGATGAAGGAAGGGAAGGGAAATTAGAGTAGGAGTGAAGGTAAGAGAGGGAGGAAGAGAGGAGGAGAAGGAGAAAGGAAGAGGAAGTAGGAAGGAGAAGAAGAGGGGAGGGGAAGAGAAAGTAAGAGGGAAAGAAAAGAGAGAGGTGGTAGGTTTGAAAGATTGCTGTACAATAAAAAAGACGAAAGGGAAGAAAACCAACCCCAAACAAATATAAAGATATTAAGATAAAGAATGAATTGTTAAACTTTAAAGAATAAAAGAGAACAAATATGAATAAATAGCAATAATTAGAAACACACATACAAACATACAATGTATTTTCTTTGAACAGAGTATTTGGCCGGTTCACAAATTTAACCAGTGTTTAGTCATTTCAATTAAATTTACAATTTCTATATTTCCTTTTTGCCATATTTATTCCTCATCTATTTTTTTAAAAACCAATATTACCCTTCATCCTCATCTCTAATCTTAATCAAATTCAATTTTTCCCTTCTATTCTATATTATACCCCTTCCCATTGCCATCTATTTTTATATCCATCCTCACATTGGTTAATTATGTAATTATGTAATACAGTTGTTTAATTCAAATTCAACATTTTAATATAAATCAATTAGTTATATAACTATCTTTTTTGTATATTAATCATGAATATGAACTTGAATATTCCAATTATTTCCATGCAATCCAATTTCTTACAAATTAATTAATTATATTTACCAATAATAATAAACCAAATAATTTCCCCCATATATTCCTCCAAACCAAACCTTAACTATTTCTGCTTTCAACACAATATACAATTAATAGTATCTCAATTATTACAATTCCCTAGTTAAATAGAGCTTTTTTTCTTTTGTGTTTTAAAATCTTGAACCTCCTCTTTTGCCCTAAATTTCCCATTGTTTGCAGTTTTTCACCTACCTTTTTTGGTGAGGAAAAAGAAAAAGAAATCTCTCTGTGCCTCATTTTGTCACGTTGCAGCAAAGACCCTGCTTTACTTTCAGTTTTGCTTTTTCAGCATAGCTAGGGGAATAAAACATTTGCTCCAGCAATTTACCTCTTTGCAGCTAGCTAGCAACAGAGCCCTCCGCAAAACAGCTGAGAGCAAATCAGCTGAGAGTCGGGAGGCTGATCAAATCAACTTATGGTAATTAACCTATGCTGAAGCTGAAAGGGGCTGTTTTTTCTATTTTTGCAGGCACCAGTCTACTCATTTGTTTTCTTTTAACACTGATCAGCTGTAGGGCTGCCCTTTGAAGCCCCCTGGCAAGAATTTAAACAGTTTTTTTTCCCTCTAGCCATCAGCTGGGACTCAGCAATAGATTGGGAGTGGGCGGGGTAAGCAAACGGGGACCAGCAATCCAACAGAGGCAGAGGGTGAGGATGAGTGAAAACCATATATTCCCTTCCCGTTCTCCCGCCGTTCCCTAGCGGGACAAATTGTTAAAAATTGGGACTGTCCCGCCAAAAGCGGGACATCTGGTCAGGTTGGCTTAGATATCAAAATTAATAAATAGCTATAATTATCTGCACAATGATACAGCACAATGTACACATATTCTTAGAGATGTTTGCTGCTATTTAGTCTCCCATGGATTTCCTAAGGCAGGAAGCAACAGGAGCAACAGAATCAACAGTAGGCCCATGCCTATGCAAACCCTGAAAATGTACCTTCTGGACAAATAAGTGATTTGACCACAGCACAAGGATTCTTCTTTTTTCAGGGTTGATACTATATTCCTACAAAACCAATATGCAATATGGGCTGTGCTAAAATATGAAGATTTTCAGAAATTTATGTTTCCACATTATGGACTATAATTTATTTGCTTATTATTTATTTATTCCTTTATTTATTAAACTTTTTAAATAAGATAATCATCCTCTTCAAAAAACAAACCACCTGGATACTAACAAATTCATGAACATTACATTTATTTTAAGATAGAAAGTTTCCAAGACTTTTCTGCTCAATATTTATACCATAAAACTACTTGGAAACTGCTTCTGGACTTTGTGGTTGAGATGGGGAAAAAAATGAAACTTTGATTTTGTTTTTACTGATCAGTAGGTTTGTTGTTATAGAAATAATTAGTTTATATTATTATGTAAAAGTAAAAAGTTGAGGTTTGATATTATTATCTTATTCTACTGCACCAAAGGGAATTGGATGTCAATGATTTTTCTTTCTTTTTTTCCTTTTGCTCCATACTTTTCATTTCCCTTCTTCCTCCTGTATTTTCCTACTATTTTCTTTTGTATTTCTGTATTATATATTATAAACTTTTAAATTTTAAAAATATTTATACCACAAAGGAAATCCTACATTATAAATGACAAAGATCGAGAAATGTAAAAGATGGAACAATACATGACAGAAATAAAGGAAATAGAAAGCTATGAATGTATCTTAGCTTGTTTTAACTATCCGTGCAGTTGCAAATAGCAGGATTTCCAAACATGATCCTTGATGCCTTCCCAATATAGACTACGAACAAAGTTGAAAGTTATTCTCGATATATATTTGTGTTTTCCTTTCTTTTGCTTTATACCTTTTCATACTTCTATTTTTATGCTTTTTTACTCTTTTTTATTTCTATTGATTGCTACTTTTTGTTGTTTTTTATGTGCATGACCTGTAAAATATAATAAAATTATTTATATTGCTAATGATGGACTTCTTATACTAATTCTAAATCAGAACATTTCCAGGAATTTTCTGTTCAACATGTATGTCACCAAAAAAAGTCCATAGAGTATGAATATCAGTGCTGAAGATAATGGAAATTTAAAAGAAGGAATGTTACACAAGTGAAATAATGAAAATGGAGTATTTAAGTTTATACTGTTAATATTTTTTAAAAAATATTATTCATTAAATTTACAAAGATTAAAATACACAGTACAAAAAGAAACATAATACACAAAAAGCAAGAAATACACACACAAAATATATATATATATAAAACCAAAAAAAAAACATAACAAAATTTCAATACTAATAACTTTTCTGAATCGGTATCTCTAGCCTATTTAAACTCTTCACACAAATTCTACTTCTAAATATCTCTATCTTAAATTTACATCTTTATCTAAATTATCTTGACTTCTATTTACAATTCGATCTCGTAACAAAAACATCCCTTAAATGTTATGTTTACTTTCCAACCAGAAATACCATTTATTCCATATTAAATAGTACTTGGTGTCCTCCTCTCCTTCATTTCCATAGATAATCTGTCTATCTCTGCACATTCGTATATTTTTTTTTAATTATGATTTGATCTGGAGGGGTGTCTGATTGTTTCCAATTTTGTGCTATCACAATTCTACTTGCCGTTAGTATGTGTAATATGATATATTGTATACTTTTCTGCATTTTCTCTTCCAGAATACCCAGGAGAAACAATTCTGGCTTTCTTTCTATCTTCTGCCCTGTTATTTCATCGAGCCATTTTTTAATCTTGCCCAAAAATTTCCTAATTTTATACTGTTAATATTTTTTGTTTCTTAAGGTTTTCTTTAAGGTTTTAGCTGATTCCCAAACAACAGCATTATAAAATGTGATCCATTAGGTGTCTTCATGCCTTCCTACTATAAACTAGGAATAACTTCAGATTAGGTACTTTAAGTAATTTCAACCCAGTCATTTTTTCCTTAAAACCAAAGCTGCTTCCTTAAATAAACATATGCCCTCTTCATTTCTCAGAATTTCAATTTTAATTGAAACCAACCATCTTTTACTCATAAACCAAAAAGACTCAAAATTTCTGCTACTTTCCCAAAGTCAGCCATTTAAAGTTTAGGAACTTAAAAGAAAGGATGCTAAAAAACAGAAATACAACTCAATACATATTTATCTACAATAACGTATATAATTCTAGTTTAACACTGTATACATAGATATATGTAGGTATAGATAAGTATAATTGTATAGGAATAAGGTATAAATTACTATTATTATATTATGTTTAAATAACGTATAAGGTGTAAGGAATATATTATTATATTATCATTAGTATATTATGTATTAACTTAAAGTGTTGGAAGATACTTGGGACCAGTAATGTCATATCTATGTCCAATGTTTTTAATTTTGAACTACTAATAAAAACTTTTTAAAAAAATAAAAGACAGGAACAATAGAAATAGGATTCTTTTGTTTGTGTATTATTAATATTTTCTCTTTATTAATTGTTCCTTCTTGTTTAGGTCTGGCCGAATGATAATTATGTAACATTTGGGGAAATATATGCAGACCAACAATCCAGCAGTAGAAGTCAAAATGGAGAAAACCTCCACAGCCACCATGTATTTGCCTTTAGTGCTCAGGTAAGATGGAACAAAGGAGATCCACACACTGCAAAAGATCAGCATACTGAATGTGAGACATTTAGCCTCATTGAAACTGCTGGGAAGATTCCTGGAGAAAAAAGCTACTGTGAAACTGGCAGTTGCCAGAAAGCCCATGTATCCCAGGACACAGTAGAACATGGTAGTTGAGCCTTCATTGCACTGCAGTATGATTTCCTCAATTTCTGAATGGGTGTCAATTTCAGGGAAAGGAGGAAATGTGAAGAGCCACACCATGCAGATGCCTACTTGAATCAGGGAACCAGAAAGAACAATGCAGGTAGCCAGTCTTCTTCCCACCCATGTCCTCATCCTGGATCCTGGCTTGGTGGCCATGAAAGCCAGAACCACAGTGATGGTTTTTGCCAGGACAGAAGACACAGCCACTGAGAAGATGATGCCAAAGCTAATTTGTCTGAAGAGACATATTATATTGCCTGGTACAACGAGGAACTGCAGTGAGCAAAGAAAGCATAGGATGAGGGAGATGAGTAGAAGGTAGGTGAGATTTCGGTTATTGGCCTTGACAATGGGAGTATTATGGTACTTAAGAAATGTTGTGAGTACCACACTTGTGCAGAGAGTAAAGAAAAGTGCAAGAGTAACTAAACATATTCCCATTGGTTCTTCATAGGTCAAGAAAGATATTTTCCTTGAAATACATGAATCTTGGTCCTTATTTGGATATTGATCTTCAGGGCATTTTGAACAGTCATTCATATCTACAATTTAAATAAATTTATAAGCATTTTTTATTAGTCATATATTATTAGAATCAACACACAGTTATTTATGGAAAAAGCACTGATCCTGATATTATCCATCTTACTTTTTCTCTTCTATTTGGGATATAAGAGAACACAGGAGAATATGGAAAAATGTTATTTCCTCATGAGTTTATTTCTTGTTGCTTATTTAGTACTTATGCTTCAAATTGCAAGGTTTCTATTTGTTTGTTTGGTTTTATTGCTACATCAACCTTCAATGTTGTCTTCCTTTGAGACTATTTATATCAATTTTTTTACTTCTGTATGATTCAACAGAATTAATGTTCACAACTATGAATACAATTTTACTGAAGAAAAAAGAAGAAAAGTATCCCTTGTTTTCCTTACTTGAAAAATTTATGAAGCTTTATTAATGCAGTAGAATTTTTTTTTTTGCAAATGTTAGAGTGATATTATTTTTTTTAAGTGATACCATAATTCCAGTGTAAGCAAAACAGAATGCTTTCTCCTCTAGCAACTGGCTTGGTCAGTGACTGCTCACAGGACAGTGATGAAAAAGTAGCTGTGTATAATCTTTCAAACATATGTTTGCCATTCCCTTCTCAGAGCAGAATCATTGTTTGAAGAACCTTTCCATTTCTGAGGTCCTGCAACTGCTAACCAACTCAGGACCTTAATTAATTAATTAAAAAATATCCACATGGCTCACATCAGTTAGATCACGGGTGTCAAACCTGATTGTGTCACGTGACATATTGTGACGTTTTTTGCCTTTGAGGAGTTGGGTGGGCGTGGCCAGATGTGATGCATCTGGCCCATAGGCCACCAGTTTGGCAGGCCTGAGTTAAGACACTAAAGGCTTTTGTTTATCCCCCAAGTGGCCCCTGGCTCATAGCAGCCACTGTGCTAGGCAAATAGCTGGTTCAACTGTCTTCCTTTCAAAGTGCATTCCTTACTATTGCCTGATTATGTTCTTTCATTCATTTCCTCTCCAATGAATGCAAATACAAATATCAAGTCTCTTCTTGATAATTAACTCAGCTCTGGGATTAGCATGGCAAATGGGGAAAAGGGCTACAGATAATCCTTATTTGGTGACTGCCTTGTTTATTCCCAGTTACAAAAGTAATAAAAAGGGAATTTTGTCACTAATTCTTTCATTGACAATCTATATTTGCAGGTCTATAGAGAAAAGGAAACCTGAAATAACATTGCAAGAACAGTTGCTTTATTTAATGACTGACTGACAAGCCCCAATTGTGGCCATTAAATGAGAAGAACATGTATTTTTTTTAATCAAGTTGTCAATTGCTTAGAGTTTTGTAAAGCATATAAAGATATTCATAATGGAAAGTTCTACATAAAAGTTTTAGATAAATTCAAAAACAAATCAATGTATCCTGGAAATGATATATTGTGGTTCACCTAGGCCCCCCAACTAATATGAAGATTTTGCAGTTTACACCAATGAAAACACTTAAACTCTTAACTCTGAGGTCTTTCTTTGAAAGGGTTGGAGAATATTTCTTTATGGAAGGGGAAAATATCTTAACTGATAAAAATATAATTCATGTCCTGTCTTATATGTTCGTGGATGTGCTTGAGGTGACCTAGAGAACAATAAGAAAATTTGGTTTACGACATCTCTTACCCTTCTTGCTGGACATTTTCTCTTTGGGACATGGGAGGCAATCATAGCAGCAAAAAGGCTTCTCCTCCTGCTTTTTCTTAAAATATCCAGGTAGGCAGCTCTCGGTACACACTGAAACAGGTATGGTCTGCCCAATAAATGAAAGAAGGAAAATGTTAATCATGTATTTTGGGGGGGGGAGTTGAAAAATCATGGTTGATCAATGTTCTACAAATAAATAGTTCCAATTTTAAGAATTTGAGATATTTTTTTTCATCAGTCACATTACCAAAACTATTCTAGATTGAATACTTTTCTCAGTTCTACCAATTATATAGGCAACCTTGTTTCTTTTTAAATGGGGAATATATTCAGACAATTATTTCCGTGGGGCTCAAAATACCATTCAGTTTTGTTCAGGACATTGAAAAGTATCCATTCTTACTGTTGGATAATGCAAATAATTAAATATACTGTAATTACAGAGAAATATATTTTTCAGAGTTATTTAAATAAAACAAAAATTATTATAGAATACAATGAAACATTTGAAAGAGATCTATAAGTAGGGGATGGTTGAAAGAGATTGATAAGCATAGTATGTGATGGTTCTAGGGCTAGTAGATATATTGAAAAGGGATGACAAATGTTGAATAACTACAGATGTCAATATTAACAACTGATAATAATCAAATGTATACACAATGATAAAACCATTAAAATCATCAGTACAACTTAGATTTTTAAATATGAATTTTAAATAGTTAATTAACACATTAAAAAGGAAAGATAATGAGTAATTATTTTTCTTTAATTTCCTAAGTTTAACATTTTTATTGAGTTATAAAATATTGTAAAATACAAAATACAAAAGTAAATAGAAAAGCAGTGGGTAGGAAAAGGGGGAAGAGAAGTGAGGAAGGATAAGAAAAAAAGAAAAAGAAACATTGACTTCCAACTCTCTCTGTTGCAGTAAAATAAGGCATTAACATCAAATTACAACTTTTTTGCTTTTTCATAATAGGAACCAGTCATTTTTGTAAAGATCTATCAATCTACTCAGTAAAACCCAAAATCAAGATTTCATTCTTTTCCACTTCAAGCACGATGTTCAAAAATGGTCTCCAAGTGGAAACAAAAGTACTTATGTTCTTTTCTTTCATAAAAGTAGTCAATTTTGCCATTTCAGCCAACTCCATCAACTTCTGCAACCATTTGTCCATAGTAGGAATCAAAGTGTCCTTCCATTTTTGTGCATACAATAGACTTGCTGCTGTCAACATATGTAATAACAAAGTTCCACATTTTTTCTCCACTTCTTTTTCCATTATGCTAAAAGAAAAAGTTCTGGTTTCTTTTCCATTTTCAAAATTTTCTGTATTAAAATGCCAATCATATTCCAATTTTGTTTTTGGGTTTTTTTGCTTTATCGCCTGTCCCCCATAGATGATAAAAAGTCCCTTCTTTACTTTTAGACTTCCAACACTCATTTGACATAACTTTATACACCTTAGATAAGTTACCTGGTGTTAAATACCAACAATATATCATTTTATAGAAATTTTCTTTTAGATTATAAATTAATATAAATTTTAAATCATTCATCCACATATATTCCCATTGTTCAAGCATCACATTATATCCAAAATTCCTTGCCCACTATGAGAACATGTTTTACATATTCATTTTCCAAATTCAATTTCAATAACATTTTATAGATCTTAACAATAATATGTTCATCGTTGCTACACAATGAAATTTCCAATTCATTTTTAACAAAATCAAATCCATAGCACTTTTTGTCCAGTTTAAATCTTTCTTTCAGTTGTTAATAAGTAAACCAATGGCAAACATAACCTACTGATTCAAGTTCTTCCCTCGGATTTAATATTGGATCACCAGAATTGAGAGATAAAATTTTACCATATGTCAACCAGTCTGGTTTTGCCACCATTTCTTTTCTAAAAAGAGGCTTCCTAGGATGACACCCAAAGGGGCAGCTTCCTAGAGAGCCTTGTTGTATATTTATTCCAAACTCTTAGTATGGCATGTCTAACAAAATGTTTATTAAAACCAACATTAACATTACGTTTATTATACCATAAGTAGCCATGACATCCAAACCTTAATTCATGGCCCTCTAATTCAAGTAGCCTTTTATTCTGGATGTTCACCCATTCTTTGGCCAAGTCAAATAACAGGCATGAAAAATACAATTTCATATCTGGTAAACAAGCCCCCCCCCTTTCCTTAACATCTTGCAGTTGCTTATATCTAATTCTTGTTTTTTCCCCTTGCCATATGAACTTAGAAATGTCCTTCTGCCATTGTTTAAATGGATTGCCAGTTGTAGGTATTTGTAACATCTGAAATAAAAAAGCATCTTTGGTAAAATATTTATCTTGATTACAGAGATTCTACCCAATAGTCAGGGGTGAAATGCTCCCGGTTCGGACCGGCTCGGGCGAGTAGGTAGCGATGGGCAGTTCGGAGAACCGGTAGCAAAAATCCCTTTCCCCCCCCAGCCTCCAGCTTGCTTACCTTCACACACCTGCCTTGTTTCGCTTGCTGTAACCCCTGCAATCCATAGCATCAGCATTGGTGAGCAGCTCTATCTTCCTGCCTGCCTGCCTGCCTGCCTGCCTGCCTGCCTCAACTGGGTAATTTTTTTCCCCTTTGGGAGCTTTAAAAAATAGTTAATTGAGGGGTTTTTTAGTTGTTCTTTTTTTAGACCTAGCCATTTAAAGTTTAGGAAGTTTTAAATTTAGCTGCTTTTATATAAAAATAAAAATAAAATAAAATAATATTTGTGCAGCTTTCTGAGATTTTGTGTGTTTCTGTAGTGTTCACTCTAACTACACAAAGACACAAAATCTCACAAAGCTGTATGTGGAATTTTGTGAGTGTAAAGTGTGAAAGTTGGTTTTTTGGACTTTTTGTGGCTATGTGAGGTTCCTGCTTGTTGCAGGGGCCATTTTGCCCCTGCTTTTACATTGTGGATGAGCCAGTTGTGTTGTGTTGTGTTTTGTAGGTTAAAAAAGGGCAAAGAAGTGACGTTGACTTGGCCACGCCCACCTGACCACCAAGCCACGTCCACCCAGTCACCTAACCACCAAGCACGCCCACTAATTAAGCCACGCCCACAGAACCAGTAGCAAAAATTTGTAGATTTCACCCCTGCCAATAGTGATAAATGCAGTTTATCCCATCTTTGTAAATCCTGTTCAATATACCTCCAAAGAGGAATATAGTTGTTTTGAAACAATTTTATATTGTATTTGTCAACATAACCCCTAAATATTTTCTCAATCCTGAAATCTGACTTTTTGTTCAATATATTTATTTGTTCAACTTATTTATTTATTTATTTGTTCAACTTGTATGCCGCCTTTCTCCGAAGACTCAAGGCGGCTTACAATGCATTTAAAAACCATGTATAAAAACATTAAAAATTAAAACATTAAAAACAATTAAAACACTATCACTATCCTGATATATTATATCTATATAATATAGATATAGATATTATATCTAACTGGAAAGTAATTTGGTCTGAACTTTTTGAGGATAATGCATTGATAACATAGGTTTATGATTCTACAGAGTAAGTCCCTTCATGCCCACAAGAGAGTTAAATCCAATCCTTCTTCAATTCCATTGATTCTTATCTACTGTCAATTTGCCTTGACCATTAGTGGTTCAGATACTTATTTAGAAGCATGGGATAGACTTGTACTCATTTGAATAATATATCTGTATTCAATTTATTTCAAATTCATTTTTGCATAATTTCTTTCATTTGCCTTTCCCCCCCTCAGATTTCTGAGAAAAAGAATTCGTTATTATCAAATGTTTGGGGGATTTATTTTTATTTATTTTTTTGCTGAAAAAAAGATATTATCTCCCCCAAATTCCAAAAAGCAGCATATAAAAATTTTCTAATTGTTTTTATTTTTATCACTTGTTTAACCATCTCAATCATTCAGTATAGATGGATGTACAAACCCTGTTCTGCAATTTTAACATCTTATAATAACCTTAAAAACAGTGTTCAAAATGTTGAATATGTGAAGGTTTTTGCAGTTCTCAGATCTCATTAGTAATATAAAGTAGGTATAAATCACCATGATTTATTAATTTACTTCAAAAATTGAATTCAGTGAAAAATTTTCTTAGGATAAAGCATCCCTTTTAAGATGGACTTCTTCTTAATATACTGTATATGTATTGCAGTGGATAAATAAATATGTATATTGGAAAAATATATTTAAAATTAAATTGAAAAATTAACAAACTTTTCCTATATATACTTGTATAATGAATCCTAGCAGCATAATCTTACAAGTAAAATGTAATGTGTACAAACAATATACTGTAATTATATACATGCATATCCATGGATGCATGGATGCCTCACACTCTTCAGGTAAGTGTGTGCCTTCTAGTGACTCTTAACCACAATCTAGTGTGCCTAGATTAATTCCTGAAGTTTTCTTTGAAATATTTTTGGAAATGTTTAACTTGGTCTTTCTAGGACTGAGAGAAAGTGAGTAGCCCAATGTCCTAAGAGAGAGAACTCTAGCCTTATGACTTAAAAACTGCAACACATTTGCCCTCACAGTTACAATAATATAGACTTAAAACTAAATGTCTCCATTGCCTTTCAAAATGAAAAATAACATGTTAGGAAAATCTATACTAATTTATATAATAATCTATACTAATTTATGTAACCAATTAAGCAACCCTTATGTTCAGAATTCTTGAATCCTTCACTTGCTCACAATTCTTTCCAGTATTTAAATTCTTTCTAATGTTAAAGAATATAGAATAGAATATAGAATATCCTTTAGGATATCATATCAATATTTTCAAATAAAATAATTCCATGCATAACCTACTTGGTTAAAAGTGCTGGGCCAGCTGATGGCTTCCTCATGAATGGTGAATATTTTGTCTTCTGCTGCCCAGGGATCCAGCTTCCCAACTTTCACTCGATGGAACGACTGATTGGAGAAAGTGACCCAATTCTCAATCTCCAGTCCTGTAATCAGTTTTCTATTCTGATCAAAGGAAATTTCTTTCCCAGCACTGTTGTTAAATGAGACTCTTTTCAAAAAGAAATGAAGCTGAAAATGGAACAAATATATGAGAAAAAATCAAGATTAATGTATAGAACTATAAAGTAATAAAGGTGAGATAAAAATGTAATAGATAAATAAATAACATATACATTCTTTTATTTCAAACATGTTATATAACTGAAAGACTGTTCCTATTCTAAACTGGTATACTTTCTCTCAAGCATAATTATCTGTGATTCTTGATCCAAAATCATTCTTATGGTCTACTAACAAATAATCAAGTCCAAGAAAATCACGTATACTTTAGTATGCAAAAATGTATCTTATTTGGGAAAACATGGTACTCAGCAAATAAATAAAATCAAGATTCCATTATTTTTTGCAATAACTAACAAACTTGTCTCCTGAAGTTATTAAAAATAAACTGAGCAGGGAAGATCAGATCACTTAATATCTAAAATAATTTTTAAAATTTATCAACTACACAAAATAATAGTCAAGGTTGAAACTTACTTGTCAACATTATCATTTTGTAATGCTAAAAAGTCTGCTATTACCAGTTCCACAAAAGGAGAGAAAAGGAGAAAGGAGAAACTTAGAAGACTTTACTAACTTTCCATCTACATATGTATCACAGTTCTTTGTGGTCAGGAGCTCGTGAGATGCTGGAGAGTCAGTAGAATTTAAATTGATGTCCAATGTAAAATTACCTGCCATGACTGGAGATCCTGAAGACCAAACATTTTGTCACTCAGATTTCGCCTATGTTGTTGGCTCAATTTCATGGCATGTAAAGCATGTGCCACAGCATATACTGCATTGTATATACTGTAACTATGACTGGTCATCCTCATTTCAAAAAAGACTCCAGGAAGGGTTTCCAGTTTCTCCCTTCCTGTACAGACATCCTCTGTTTCCTCATTCACAGGTGGATTTGGAAACACACAGCCAAATGCTTGCTCCCACACATCTTTGAGGAAACCATCCTCTTTGGAGGAGAAATGGTTTCTTGTCTGAAGAAAATGTTGGAATCCTGCAACTTCATTTGAGTAAGGTGCAAAGCTTAGAGCACCGTGGAGGACTTGAATATCCCAGCTTTTCTGATAAAAGAATGATGCAAGACCCATTTGGGAAACCATTATCCACACCTTACCTTTGAGCTTTATAGAAACTATTTCCATTTCAGGTAGATACAACAACCACCTTAAATTTGAAAGATTATTATCATTGATTATTACAGTTTGGGCTTTGCTATTAACAAGAAGGCGAAAAGTTTCAACAAGCAATTGCAAACCCTCTAAAGAATTAGTAAAATATACTGGTCTGAACTGGTCCAAAAAGGCAACACAGATTTTATGGACAGCAAACAATGAAAAGATTAGGTACTGAAATGTTCTTCCACCAAATCCATAAACAAGTATCCCAACCCAAGTCCATCTGAAGTGCAAAAGTAGTTGAATAATCCCCATATAATGCAGTTCTTCACCTGGAACCATGTGGTAGTAGAAAGGACTTTTATTTGGAGAAGAGCCAGTTGAGAACTAGGAAATGAAAATTAGATACATAAATAAAAAAACCTAGTATGTGTGTGGAAAAATATAATTGACAAAAGAAACTGTGTAGCCACTCTAAATTTAGAGTTCTGAAATATGTTAGCAAATGCTTTTATATCATTTCCCTGCATTGTAGGAATGGATAATCCTTATGTTCTCTTTGAAATCTACAATCCTATGATTATTTGAATTTATCCCATCAATTTGCTTCCATAAAGAATCCATGATTTGACATATTTTTTACATATGTCCCTTCCTTCCTTCCTTCCTTCCTTCCTTCCTTCCTTCCTTCCTTCCTTGTCACCTGTTATACTCCATCTTCTCTTGTCAATTCAAGTATCTGAGCAGCTCAAGGTCAGATGAGATTTTTGGAGGAAAGAGAAGACATCAAGGAGGAATTACTAGGGAGAGAAAGATTTTTTTTCTTCTACGTAATGAGGCTTCTAATTCTGCTCACATGGCATCTCTTGTAATGATTCAGTATGTTTCCAAATTCAAGGATATCTTTTTCTTTTACTAAAATGTATCATTCACCAAGATTTAGTGTTTGAATAGCTGTGCTTGTTCATTTTTCACAACAACTTTTTCCCTGATTGAATGGTATATTCTTTGTTAAGATCAATCAGAATGATTCCATCTTCAAAGAAATATTACGAATAAATTCTGGAAAAACTCTGGATCCTGCTGCTAGTTTTCAACTGTGATTTCTCACTGGATATTTTGGAGTCAATCCAATTTTATTAACTAAAACTAACTCATATAATAGCCATAGACAAAATTTAAATTTGTCTCATCTATCTCAGCCACTGTTTGGCATTATAATGGTTTTTCTGCAATTTATGAATATCACAGAATTTATGAATATCACAGTAGCCTGCAGTCATATGTTCATCATTCAAGAATTTCACAACTAGTACACATTTATGATCCTCATAGCATCCAAAAGTCACATAATTTCTATCTCACAAAGTTAACAACCAGATTCTAACAAGCGGATTTAATAGAGAACACAAATGTAAAATCCCAAATAATAGTGACATGAAATGTTGTATTTCTTAATACCCATGGCAATTCACTTAATGCTGGAAGTAGAGATGAAGTTGTAAGTCTAGCATGGACATGTGTTGTTTTAGCTCTCTCTGGAATTTAATGATGAAGTTGCCAATCCCAATTGTACTCAATAAGTGATGACTATCTCTAGCTGAAGAAAGTGCTACAGTACCTATGCCTCCTTGAGCAGTGAATGAAATCAAGGCATCAATCTAATGACTTAATAAAATATAAATATATAAAATTCAAAAATATTGAATTGTTTTTCTCATCACATCAGCACCTTACATGTAATTTTTAATGACCATTCATAATTAATCATTGATACTCAGAGATATTTTATTTTATGTAATATTAAATATATTTTCTTAAATAAGCTCCATACAGAAATGTACATGAAAGTTAATTATATCTTATTGTCTTGCCTTCCACTACAATCTGAAAAGGAAAATCCAATTCATCTTACCTGAGGGACTTTGTAAGTGTCCAAAAAATCTATCAAAGAGATTCCAGGGTCAATAGTGCCAACAACTGATATGAGTTTGTTCAAAAAGCCACACTTGTAATTTGGAACAAATCTGTTCTGACTGGAGAAAAAATCCATTTTGGCATGATAGCCAGCATATCTATCACATATTCTAAAGCCCAGGGTGATATTAGGTAAGAGTTGGTGCTCTTCATTGATCTTCTTCACAGCAAATATCATAGTCAAAATGTGCTGATAATACTTAGTCAGGACTCTGCAAAGAGAATTACATGCTGTATCAAATGGAATTGTGCACCTAAAATGGGCAATATGGCTATGCTCCTTTAAAAAAAAGGCTTAAAAACTAATAATGACTCTTTCATGTTATCTGATTAATAGATTTAGCTCCATTAAAAATTATTTTAGAAAGTAATAGTCACCCTTTCATACTAATTGATTGATATATTGATACTCATTATAAAAATGGCAGAAATACACTTCAGAGGAATAATCACAAGGGTTTTTTTTTAATTTCTTTGCTGTTTGCAGTGAATTCTAATTATGTTTGGAAGCTGTCCAGAATCATTGTCAGACATGTAACATAGAGATTAGCATTGTATACAGTAACTGGGAAATAAACTTTCATTAATTATTTTTTCTTACACGTGAGGTGGTTCATTTTAATAGCCTAGGAAAAAAAATCAGTTCAGAAGAATATTATCCCTGAAAGAAAACTGCATGCCTAATATACTGAGATAAAATATGCTGTATCTCTGACTAAAGAGAGATATTATTCCCATGGTTCAATCATATTATCTGTATAGTCTGTTTTATAGACTGTAATTTCTATTTCAAGCAAAGGGACTGGAGAGATTCTTTATTGTTGGAATCTACTAGCAATGATTAGTTTAATTTTCTTCTAATATTATTTAAGGAACAAAGGTTCTAGCTGTTGGTTTCCTTCCATCATTCAATGTTAGAAATATCACAGTAGTTCATTATGACACATAGAATGAATATACTAAATAATTTTATCTTGATTGATATAGGCTATTGAAATGAAATTATGTCTTACAGGGATTCAGTAACAAGAGAATGATGTGGATCTTCCTCAAAGCTTTCTGCATTTCTAGTTGTGAAGACAAAAGAAGTGATGGCACCAATGATTAGATCACCCGGTTGGAAATATTTGTGATCAATCGGGATAGGATCTTGGATGCTGCATTTTATTGCTTGAGTCTTGCAAGTCATATATAGCAATAACAGTAGAAGAATCAATATCATCATAATAAATATTAATCCCACTTTGACAAAGCTTCTCTAATTTCTATGTAATGTAATTATATAGCTTGAGCACAAGCTTGAACTGAATCTCTCTCTCTTCCTCACATGGCTTTCATTTTGAACTGAATTTTATAATTTCTGATTATTTTACCTGTCCCTAAATTCTGAAATACTTAATTGTCCATCAGCAATTAGTCATCATTCTTTGAAGTATAATAATTTGTTTGTCTAGGTGTTGAGGCACAACAAAGATAATAATAGTCTTTTTGATAATTAGAAGGGGAAGAAAAAATTGCAATCTTTACATTTCAAGTTTCAGTCTTTTAATAAAATAGTAAGGGTGGAATGAATCGCAATCATCATAGAATGAAGAAAAAGTTTTTCAGAGGAGAGGAAGTTAAACATGGCAAAGATGGAAACATTCTTGCTGCTTTCTGAATTAAAGATGAAAGTATTTAGCCTCCCCCTCCCGTAAAAAAAGTTTCTGTAATGGCAACAATATCATATCTGCCCTCATGTACTTGAGTTTCTAACTCACCCTGTTTCTTCCTCATACTTAGCATCTCGGTGTATACACATTTGAGTCCTGTGTATACTTTGTACATCACCTGTTTTGTGTCTGAGTTTCCTTTCAACCTTACCACCTGTTTGATTAGTGCACATGGTATAGCACACACTATCAAAAGCTTGATTTTCCTTGATAGCATGGTTGATATTCTTAACCACATAAACATCTAGGTTAGAAGTGCTAATAACCCTATTAGTTTCAGATTTCTGGGGAAAGAAATGTTCTTTATCAATTAACTCTCTGTCCTCATGTACAGTTTAAAAGTTTCTCCAGAACACCCCTGAATTTAGTACTAAGTATCTGGGTTCCTTTCTATTACAGATGCAAACCATCTCTTTTGCACAGCTTTTTATCAGACCAGCTTCAAATATCATGACTAACATAAACAAAACCTTCCACTCCACACCACTCTTTTAGCCACACATTGAACTCCATGAAACAGTGACCTTTTCATCATTTGTACTTGAGATATACTGAATGCTTCCAACGTAGCAATTGGGATGGTATTATGCAGGTCCACTGGCACCCGTCTGTTTGTTCATCCATTTGTTCCTGTCTGTTTATTTCTCCCAGAAATTCATACTGATGCAGCAGAACTACATCATCTGGGATAAAGTGCTTGCAATCTAGCTGCATTTTGAATGTGACATTTCCTGGAAGGCACATTGAACTTTGTTAGACTCTATAGAAACTACAAGAATATAGACACACCATAATCCCAGATAGGTTTGCTGATAGCCAGTGTCCCTTAAATCTCATGCAGCAGATACAGGAACAAAACCTAGTTATTCCCATGCCTACTCATGCCCTTCAAATACACCTCCTGCCCAAACAACTGCTTGCGCTAGAGAAAATATGCTCCTCTACTTCCAGGATTGATCTACGTCCTTGCATAGCCATTGTACAGAATAGTGCTTCACATCATTGGATTGGTGAAATTCAAGACCTTTCATGTCAATTTGGACAATGTTGCTTTATCCCTCCTTTCTGGTATCTGTGTTAAACAGGTACATATTCCATTCTTTTTTCACTAAAGACATTCTAAGTTGCTGTATTGCCATTTTCATCAAACCAAGTTAGAAAGTATGACAGGCATTTTGATCATTCAACATTACAGCTTTAATAGTTTCTATATTATTGAATCTCTTATATCAAGTCACACCCATCTGCAATGAGTGAAATAATAGAAATAGGAGTCTTTTTGTGTACACTGTTAATCTAATCCCATTCTTAACTGCCATTGTTGTTTTGCTTAGGCCTAAACAACATCATTCCAATAAGAGATCCATTTCCAGGCACTTTTGTAACTTCCCACTATAAAATAAAGCAAACTTTTATTTATTTCTGGGATTCAGTCTAGATTCTTTAACCAACTTGAATCAAATCATTTTTTCCCTCAAAATAGAGGCTGCATTCTTAAATAAACCCATACCCTCTTCTTTTCTTAGTTTCAATTTTAACTCAACTAGGGGAAATTTTATCAGCCTCTACACATATATCAAAAACTCTTCTAAGAATTTATGTGTCCTTCCAAAAGTCACTGATTTAAATTTGGAGATTTAACAGGAAGGATACTGAAATGAAAAAAATGGAAATAGGATTTGTGTTTGTGTGTGTGTGTGATTATTATTTTCGCTTTATTAATTGTTCCTTGTTGTTTAGCTCTGGCCTAATAATAATTATGTAACATTTGGGAAAATATATGCAGACCAGCAACCCAGCAGTAGAGGCCAAAATGGAGAAAACCTCCACAGCCACCATGTATTTGCCTTTGGTGCTCAGGTAAGATGGAACAAAGGAGATCCACACACTGCAAAAGATCAGCATACTGAATGTGAGGCATTTGGCCTCATTGAAACTGCTGGGGAGATTCCTGGAGAAAAACGCTACTGTAAAACTTGCAGTTGCCAGAAAGCCCATGTATCCCAGGACACAGTAGAACATGGTAGTTGAGCCTTCATTGCACTGCAGTATGATTTCCTCAATTTCTCAATGGGTGTCCATGTCAGGAAAAGGGGGAAATGTGAACAGCCACACCATACAGATGCCTGCTTGAATCAGGGAACCAGTAAGAACAATGGTGAGTGCCAGTCTTCTTCCCACCCATTTCCTCATCCTGGATCCTGGCTTGGTGGCCATGAAAGCCAGAACTACAGTGACCGTTTTTGCCAGCACAGAAGACACAGCCACTGAGAAGATGATGCCAAAGCTAATTTGTCGGAGGAGACATATTATATTTCCTGGTGCAACAAGGAACTGCAATGAGCAAAGGAAGCAGAGGAGGAGGGAGATAAGGAGAACATAGGTGAGGTTTCGGTTATTGGCCTTGACAATAGGTGTGTTATGGTATTTCAGAAATATTGCCAGCACCACAATTGTGCAGAGAGAAAAGAAAAGTGCCAGAGTAACTAAACTTGTTCCCATTGGTTCTTCATAAGTCAGGAATGATACTTTCTTCAGAATACATGAATCTTGGTTTTTATTTGGATATTGATCTTCTGGACATTTTGAACAGTCAGTCATGTCTAGAATTTAAATAAATTAGTGCATATATGTTTATTCTACTGTCATACTATTTTTGTATCATTGTATAAGATATTTTTGGAAGCAAGGCTCACACTGGCATTATTCATTTGAATTTCAATGTAGGAGAATTTAGGGATTCAATGCTAAGGGAGTAAATGTTACTCATGTGTTCATTTCCTGATATTTATTACTTGTGCAGGGGTCTCTGTGTGTGTATGTGTGTGTGTATGTGTGTGTGTGTGTGTGTGTGTGTGTGTGTTTTGCTACATCAACGTTTAAGCATTTTAGGGAGCATCTTTGAAAATAATATCCCTGGAAATAAATGTATTAGAATTGTTTTCATATCAGATAATTTATGTTTAATATTCTTCAATTTTTATATTTCTCTATGATAAAACCAAACTAATAACAATATCCATAAACATGAGCTTTGCTGAAAGAACTGGAGGAAAAGTGTTTCCTATTCTCCTTACATTAAAAATTTCTGAATCTTTCTTAATAAAGTGACATTTATTAAAAACTTAATAAAGTGACATTTATTAAACACTTAATAAAGTGACATCTAACAGAATGTTGGAAAATTATGTTGTTAAAATGGAGGCAATAATCTCAGGGTAAAAGAATCTGACTGTGGTACAACGAAATCTCAATTATTGACTTCTCTCCCTCTCCTTCCAGGGACCATTCATCATCATGATTTTGATGTATGAGTAACAATTTGACCTACAACCTTAGCAGTCTCTCCCTCTTTTTCTCTCTCCCACACATACACACGTTTGCATTTGTAATGAGTTAGCAGATGTTACCTACTGACCATTCTACCCCACCCACATTGCAGAGCAGAAAGATTGCCTGAAGAAGTTCCTCTTCCTGAGCTGCTTTACCCCAGCCTTTACAGCTTGGTGGCCCAGCTGTGGGGGAGAGAGGGAAACTGTCCATGTGAGAAGCAGGCCAGCATGTGCTGCACACAGCTTGACTTGTATAACTGGCAGCTGATGCACAGCCCATGTGCAAGCACCCGCCAGCCCACCACTCATGCAAGTTGAGCTGCGTGCAGGCATGCATTCCAGCCAGCCATTACCAATTTCTGATAGACCATGGCCCAGGGGTTGATGAACCCTGCTGTAAAGGATAGCAGGCTCGGTTCTGAGACGTTAATTGGGTGATTAAAAATGTCCTGCTGACACTGACAAAATCCTAATCAGTTTCACATTAAAGGCTTTTGTTCGCTTCCTAAGACCCCCATGGCCCACAGTGAACAATGCACCACCAATAAGCCAGCGCTACCATCTTCCTTTCAAAGCAATTTTTCCATTGTGTGCCTGCTGACTATCTTGCAGTGACTATAAATACAAATTTCAATTCCCTTCTTGCTAATTATCCTAGCTGTTCGATGAGCATTCCGAATAATGGAGAAGTGAGGAAAAAGGGTTACAGGTAATTTTTGTTTAGTGACTGCCTTGTTTAGTATATATTCACAATTACGTCATGTAATTGTAATTGGATTGTAATTGGACTGTGTCACCAATCCTTTTATTGAAGATCTTTGCAGATCTGTAGAGAAACAAAAATCTGAAAGAACATCATAAGCACAGTTGCCTCACTTAATGACCAAATGGCCATTACTATTTGTGGCCACTAAAGGAGAACAACTGTACTGATTTTAATCAAATATGTTAATTACTTAGGATTTTATGAGACGCATCAGAAGCTTTTTTCATTGGAAGTAATGTACAAAGATTTTAAATGAATTTTAAAAAGTACCCTGGAAAAGATGCTGGGTCATCTAGGCCCCAAAATCATATGAAGACTTCAGCCATTTTAAACCCTTAATTGTGCCAGAAGATTTCTTTCAAAGTGTTGTGGAAATTTTCTTTGTAGAAAGGATAAAAAAAACCTTAATTGATAAAAAAAATAATTTAGTTCCTGTATTTATATGCCCATGTAGAGTCTGCTTGAGGTGACCTGTGGAACTATAATTCAATTTAGCTCACAATGTCTCTTACCCTTCTGGCTTGATATTTTCTCTTTGGGACATGGAAGGCAATCATAGCAGCAAAATGGCTTCTCTTCCTGCTTTTTCTTGAAATATCCGGGAAGGCAACTCTTGCTACAAACTGAAACAGGTACGGTCTGGCCAATAAATGAAGGAAGTAAAATGTTAATCATTTATTTTGGAAAAAAAGTTGAAAAACCATAGTTCATCATTATTAAAAAAATAAAAAGAGACCCAAATGTATGAATTTGAGATTTTTTATCAGTTGCATCATCCAAACTACTCAAAATTGAATTCTTATTTCAATTATATGAATTATTGTTTCTTCTTAACTATATTTCTTCTTAAATATGCTACAGTCAGGTCATTCTCTAGTGCTGAAATTATTTTGGTGGAACTCAAAAAACACTTTAAAAAGTGTTAAGAAGGCACTAAAATATCACTCTTACTATTGGATAATAGAAATAATTAAAGAGAATTAAAGAGACTATATATTTTTTTTCAAAATTTCTTAAGTAAAAAAAATCTAATGCAGAATACAATGAAGCAGATCTACTAGAACCTGTTGATTCT